TAGTAACCCAAACTGCACCCAGTGGGCCATTCGCACGACGTCCATATAAAAAACCCCACAGATGCCAAGCAATTCCACAAATTACGACCACTGCAAACGAATACATGCATTCATTCCGCTTTTGCATTCAGGCAAGTGTCCTATATGGGGCGCACAGATAGCATGTGTCCTCTTCATCCTCGGAAATCTCACCACAATGGCGTTCCAGTCCCTCACGGATGACGATAGCAGGTTGGCTTGCCTGTGGTCATATGCAGTAAACAGCCTCCTAATCTGCTTAGCCCGTTTGAATACAACTGGTGCCGCTCCTTGCCTAATTGCTCCTCGCAGTAAGGTGACATTGTCGAGCGAATGGGAGGTGTGTTTGCAGCATTAAACAGTCACGAGGGTACCGCGCCGGCACGAAGTTCCTGCAGCAAGCCTCGTCCTTTGGAGTATTCGCTTCGACATTGGCTCTTCTTGTTTTCTACTCCGCAAATTACTACTTTGATGACCCCTGGATGAGCAAAAACTTTGGAAGCGGTTCCTCTTGGTTAATCTTTTTCACCTCCCGCGTCTGCGATGCCTTCGCGTTATTCTTCTATGCTGGGTATGGCTTAGGGAGGTTGCGGCATTAAAGCATCTCGCTGGTGCAGTGCATATGCGGTTAGTTTTGGTGATGGCACATGCTTGTGCACTTTCTGCTTGGTTTTGCTTTCAGGTCGATCTTCTTTCTAGAAGTGTATCACTCTGAGGGCGCTGGCGAGGCCTGGGGATGGTTGGGAGCCATTTGTTTCAAGCTCACCGCGATTGCTGGTACTGCTTTTCCCTTCTTTCCCTCCTGCTTTTTATACATACTAAAAGCGTTGCCTTTCAACCAGGCAGGTATCAGGGGTAGAGTGATTTTGAAGCTGTTAGTCGCGTTCGGCTTTCTGCGTTGCAGAGATCTCCGCACTTGCTGCTTGGGGCAGTTCTTCCTTTGAGGTGCTTGACGCCGTGTACACTGTGATGCTCGGCGTATCCCTGAGCATTGCCTTTCTGTGGGCCCTCTTCTTTGAGCCAGCTAGCCATCGTTTCGA